ACACACAGGCAGCACCCTGCACACACAGGCAGCACCCTGCACACACAAGCAGAACAGATGCACACACAGGCAGCACCCTGCACACACAGGCAGCACCCTGCACACACAGGCAGTGCACATGCACACACAGGCAGCACATTGCACATACAAGCAGCACACATGGGGCACATTTCACACATGTGCCCACATATTCCTGCTGGCTGGCTGGGTGCTTTTCAGATGGCTCTGGCCAGCCTCCACACTTCTTCCTACTGTGCCTTTTTCTTCCAGCACCTTCTGCATCCCATCTTCCCCCCAAATCTTTCCTTCCCTCTGCCTGTCCTAGTTCTGCCTGAGTGGGGGGCTTCAGGATTGCTTCTAACATTTGTCTTCCTTCCCCAATCGCCCTTGCCCAGCTGGGGCAAAGCAGCACCAGTGTGATGCAGAGCTGAGGAAGGAGATCTCCTCTGTTTGGGCCAATCTGCCCCAGAAGACCTTGGACTTGCTGGTGCCACCCCACAAGCGTGAGTGGGAGGGCAAGGAATGCCCTCTACCCCATCTGCCCTGTCCCTCTGAGGCAGGGAGGGAGAGGCAAGGGTATCTTGTCTTGCAGAGGTGGTCTTCTCCCCTGGTCCCCCTGGCAGGGACACTGGATGGCTCAGGGACTGTGGGAGGTAGTCTGGAGTCCTCCTAGTGTGAGAATGGATTGTAAGACATCCAGGGAAAGGCAGAAGGGATCCTAATTAAGGATATGAAAGAGGAAGTGTTTATCTTGGAGGGCCCTGGTGTGTCCAAGGTGGGGGCACATCAGCCCCACACCAGGTGGGACAACTGTAGCATCTGGAGGGTTCAAGAAGCTGAGCAGCTATGGCCTGAGARTCCCTCAGCCTGAGGGCATGTCCCAAAGTCCACGTAGGGGGTGGGAGGTGAAGGAGAGGGCCTGCCTCACCACCTCACTCTGCCCATGTTTTCTGTGCTCTTTTTCCTCCAAACCTCCACCTCTGAGTCCTTCCTTGCCTGCTCTTCTCTCTAGCTGATGAGATGACGGTGGGGAAAGTCTATGCAGCACTGATGATATTCGACTTCTACAAACAGAACAAAACCACAAGAGATCAGATTCACCAAGCTCCAGGAGGCTTATCCCAGGTACCTGGCTTCAGGATTCCAGGAAGCAGCACTCATGCCTACAAGCCTTGGCCTCTTGGGAACTGGGCAGTGGGGAGATTTGCACCCTGCTTAGAGAGACTGCAGCAGCGGGAGGAGGCTCTACCCCAGTTTCCTGCTCTCCATGGACTGTTGCCTGGTGGTATCATGGAGCTCCTGAGCTGGAGAGCTGCTCTTAAGGGGCAGAGAAAGAGGGCTGAGCATAGAGGCTCTGGGTGACATCCCTCTTTTGTGATAGGCAATGGGAGAAAGATGCCAAGTGTCTGAGGAGGGTTTTTTAGCAGGTGGGAGGAGAACCTGTTGTCCTTGCATGTTGGCAGGGCCACTGCTGGTGCTGCACACGGCTCTGACCAGGAAGGTTTTGGGTCCATCTTTCTGGTGCTGTCACAGCTGTGTCTTTAGTGGGCACATGGAGGCTCTGTCTGGAAAGTTCTGTAGTTGCACAGCTTCCCAGGGTACTCGCCAGACCGTGGATGGGACACCTGGTGCTCACACTGCACCCCTTCCCGTGCATGGCATGCACACACAGTCCAGAGCTCCAGGCAGCAGTCCTGCAGTTGAGGGGACGTGACGCTGCTCTACTGTCTGTAGCCGTCTGGACCCTGACTTGTAGGAGGGACCCTGACTCTCAGGAGTGGTGAGCTCTGCCAAAGCCACTCACGGGGCAGACCTGTAGGAGGTGTGAGGGTTCCCCACCCACCTCTCTGATCACATGTTCTTTTTTGGAGGTGGAACAGGGAAAGCAAGGGGCCCCTCACTGTAGGACAGGGAGCTCTGAGCTGGGCTTGGGTGGGAACTGGCTCCATCACATGCCACGTGCGACCTCCCTGCTGAGGGCACGTCAAGGTCCACCAGGCTGGCCCCTAGAGCAGTCCCTCTTCCTGTGCCCTTCACAGATGGGCCCGGTGTCCCTGTTCCACCCTCTGAAGGCCACCCTGGAGCAGACGCAGCCAGCTGTACTCCGAGGAGCTCGGGTTTTCCTTCGGCAGAAGAGCTCTACGTCCCTCAGCAATGGTGGGGCCATGTGAGTGCCATGTGCAGGTGGGGTGGGCTGCAGGGGGCTCAGAGCCAGTGGGAGAGGAAGCAAAGTTCCTTTTTTTTACGCTGCCTGGCTCTCACTTCCTGCTGGCCTCAGGTTTGCTCCCTGAGGGGCTCATTGGGAACCTTGATGGCTTCAGGGACTGGCCCTGGCCACCTGCCCACTCTCCTGTGGGTGCAGCCAGATGCCCTCTGGTGTGCTGCAGGGAAACCTGGGATAATCGTCACCATGAGTGGTTCTCCACTCGCCAAGTTTGTGGGTGGACTTGCAGGTGACTCCTGCGATTTCAGGCAGCAGCATAGAGCTGCCAGCTAGGACAGCTTGGCGACAGGTGCTCCTCTCTCTCCTCCAGCTTCTGCTCTGGTGCCTGCAGACCATCAGAAGCTGTTGCCCCACCTCAAGCCCACCCTTCCTGTCTGCCTGTCAGTGTTCTCTCCTCCTGGCTCCTCCACATGTTGTCCTAGATCCCCATTTTGGAATTGATTTCTGAGGTTATTGTATTTCATACACAGATCGGTCATGTCTTTTCTATCACTTAACTTTTGCCATATCACTTAGTGCCAAAGCCATCATCTTTCCCTGAGGGGTGGGGCAGTCTCCACGGGGCAGGGCTCTTGCAGGCTTCCTGGACAGCTTTGGTTTGTGAGGTGTATGTTGTCTGTCACCTGTCATCACCAGTGGGCCCAGCTGCCTTGCACTGGCCCAATGAGTGGCAGGCACCCAGGATGCAGACCCTGCTAGAACCTGTGCTCCTGCCCAGTGGAATGCAACCTAGTCACCCAAGCACTGTACAGCAGGCCTGTGTCCGGTTGTGGGTAGTGGGCAGTGCAGAGGAGGATGCAGAGTTCAGGTGCTATGAGGAAGAGCCGTCCTGGCCTGGCCCAGCCCTACAGCACCCATTCTATGCTCTCCTTGCTGCAAGTGGGTTGGGGGCTCCAGGTTTGCATTTAGAGTTAAACAGATGATTCTTTGTATGTTTGTGTGTAAGAGTATGTGTTACAGATGTATGAGTATGTAAGAGTGAATGAACTTGAGTGTGTGAGAACATATGTGACAGTGTGTACATGTGCCAAGGGTATGCATGTGCGTGCATGTGTGTCTATGGAGAGAGTGTCTATACAGATGTGTGCATGTGTGTACATGAGTATGTGTTAGCATGTGTGCCTGGTAGTGTGTGTTAGAGGGCATGTGTGTCTGGGTGTGTGGAGGGGAGGGTGTGTGGAGGGGAGGGTGTGTATAAGAAGATCAAAAGGAGACAGAATCCAGGTGCAGAGACAAAGTGGCAGGATGGCAGAAAGGCAGCGAGCTCCTTGTCCAAGTTGCCAGCCTTATTTTTATCAACAGGTCATATTAGTCACTGGCATCAGTAGTGCATTAGTGTTCATTGTGTCATTAGGCAGGTTACAGAGTTAGCAACAGTATGCACCTTATTCCTCAGTTACATACTATAGTTGAAATGTGCAATGTGAGGAGCTTTGTGTAGCTCTCAAGAAAATCCATTGTTTAAAGTTACTGTTTTGTGGACAGGTTCAGGCTGAGCATAGCTTGATGAAACATTGTGGTTGTCTAATGAGAGAGTTCCTTTATTCCCAGGAGCTGAGTGCCTGAGACAGGGCAGAGACTGATAAGACTCTAGCACAGAGCCTCCTCAGGCAGGGCACTGCCACAGCAGCTAGGCACTGCACATGTATTAGTTATCTTACTAGTTCCTGGGGAAACTGCAGAATATTCCAAGGGTGGAAAAAGGGTGCCGGTTACCTTCCTGGAGTTTGCTCACTAGAGGAATGCTGTCCTGTGCATTTCCACAGCAAGAATCCTTACAGGTGTGTGCCAGGTGTGTGTGGGAGAGTGTGTGTGCCTGGACATGTGGGGTGGGGGGCATGTGTGCCTGGGTGTGTGGGGGTAGGGAGGGTATGTGCCTGGGCGTGTGTGGGGGGACATGTGTGCCTGGGCATGTGGGGGGTGAGGGTTTGTGCCTGGGTGAGTGTGTGTGTGTGTGGGGGGGTGTCTGGTGAGTTTTGGGGAGCCTGTGCCTGGGTGTGTGTGTGGGGGGTATGTGTGGGTGGGTGGCGGGGGGTAGCTGCTGAGTGTTGGGGAGCCTGTGCCTGGGCGTGTGTGTGGCGGGGGTGTGCTTGCTGAGTGTTGGGGAGCCCGTGCCTGGGTATGTGTAGGTGTGTGCCTGGTGAGTGTTGGGGAGCCCGTGCCTGGGCGTTGTGTGTGTGTGGGGGGTGTGCCTGGTGA